CCACTGAACTCTGTAGCTCTACCCCTTGCGCGTTCTAACTGAATACTCTCATTCATCACATATCCAAAAGCATAACGCACATATAACAACAAGCCCTAGACTAAGGCATCACAAATCAGGCCATTCTAATCCTAAGATATGAAATACCTAGCCTGTCTCTAGCATGCAATAATATCTCATAAAGTGCATAATAAATATTTCATAATTCAAAAGTAAGGGTATTTTGGGAAATCACCGTCTGGCTCTGGCTGATTGTACACACTGCTCTTTCTTGCTTTCTCTTTGAACTCTTATTCACTTTTTAGAAAACTATTTATTTGAAAACTTTTTCTTACTTCCTCGGTTTGAGTCCAGATTTACCCGTAGGCGCGTCCGAATCCCTCAAACCAAGGCTCTGATACCAATTTGTAACACCGTGAATTTCAAGGCAAAATTTTCATTTTATTTAATCAAATTAATATTAAAACACTTGTTTAAAATCTCATACACATTTGAATTACAAAAACATAGTTCCATTTTCACTTAGTAGAAAACCAGGATCCTCCAGAATACAACTCTTTCTTTGGTGTGTACAATCGAGCCGGTGCCATCCCGCGTTACTGAAAGAACCTGAAACAACATAACATAAAACACTGTAAGCACGAAGCTTAGTGAGTTCCCCAATATACACCTTACGCACATACGCCTTTCCAGGCCCTGACCTTCCGGTCCCTGCACAATGCCTTCCGGCCCATGAGATAATCGCCTTCCGGCCCATAACGTATTCGCCTTCCGGCCCATAACATATTGCCTTTCGGCCCAAAAACATATACAGCACATAATACATTTACTCTAACACATAAAGCACATATATCATATATCATACCTGACCTTTCTGTCACATAACACTTTGCCTTCCGGCCCATATATAAACATGCATATCACGCGTAGCAACTAACTTTCCATTTATAGCATATAAACATAACACATAACATATTCGACCTTCCGGTCACACAATCAAACCCTTCCGGGTACAGTATAGTGAGAAAACTCACCTCGTGGATGCTGGAAGTTAGCAACTCCTGAAATCACTTGCACCTGATCCGCCGAGCTACAAGCTCCCTATAACAATATCTCCCTTATTAATACTTTGATCTTCCACATTAACTGACCCTAAGAAATCACACATAGGTCATCTCTGGTCAACGGTCCATGGTCATCTCGACTGGACTCGACGAGTACCCTGGCGACTCGGCGAGTCTAGTCGTCCTCACAATTTCCTGGATGTTCCCTTTCTACTCGTCGAGTATCTCTCTGACTCGACGAGTTCCTCGTGGAAGAATCGCGGGGCCACCCCGACTCTACTCGCCGAGTCTGAAGAACAAACTCGGCGAGTCCCAGTGAATCTTCAAGCTACTCGCCGAGTCTGCTCATCCGACTCGGCGAGTCCATGCCATGCAGTCGATCAACTGCTTCCAGAATTACGTATGGTCCCGAAATACACAATCATGGGACTTCTGGACCTCTAATCATCCTATTACTGGGGTATAAACTTTTGTATAACAACATAATAATCCATCAAATCACCAAATGGGTTTCATAAACCCTAAATCCGTGTACACATCAAAATAACAGGAATGATCCGAAACATTACCTGAAAACGTACTCTCTGTGTCCCCAAACCTCAGAACTCGATCCCCTTGATCTTCCTTTGGCCAAAATCCTTCCTCTTCTTGCACCACAATTCCTTCAAAGTCACTAATGGCCTTCAAGCTTGCTCTAGATGCCACAGTCGTTTAGGGTTCTCCTCAATCGGCCAAAAGACGAACAATGACGGCATAAGATCCCTTATATACGTCCCAAACTGAACGGCTAGGGTTTTCCGCTGAACAGCGTCGACTCGTCGAGTCCATGATGGACTCGTCGAGTCCAGTCGCGAACCCACGACCAAGTCCGTGCTCCTACTCGGCGAGTCAAGCTCCAACTCGCCGAGTCCCCCCTTTAAAACACCCCAAAATGTGATTTAATAATACTTCGAGATTTCAGGCTGTTACAAAAGTATAGCATTTTCCCCCTCTTTTTTAATAATAATGATAAAAAAGTTTCCATTTTGGATTGTTTTGAACATCTGTTGTGCTTTATTTGCATCAGGTGAAAACCATGGCAGAAGCTTAAGATTGTCTTCTTCCAATGAGAATCACATCAAAAAATAGGAACAACATCAGGAATAAATAGCAACCTACTTTTATTTCCTATTTTACCAATATCAATTTACTTTCATTTTTTTGTCAAATATAACGCCATACTTTCATTTTCTATTTTGTCAAATATTGAAAAATGAAAGTATAGTGCTATATATGGGTATACACTCAAAACTACAAACCACCGCACCTCATTTAGAATATCCAAAGTACATTGGTATTTTTTATTTGTCTGTTGTTTGTGTGTTGTGTGATGTGTGATGTATGTGTGTGCTAACCGATATGTTCTTCGATCGTGCAACCGAAGTACTAACAAGATGAATGGTCCATTATTTGGGTGTGCACAAATAATGTCGTGTTCAAAGTATAGTTTATGAAAGAATATTTACAGAGAATAAACCGAACAAAAAATCTAAAAAATTGACAAGTGGCAAAAAAATTAATTTATTAGGGAGGATGGAATTTCGCCAAATTGGGATATCGAGTTTGCTGCCAATGCAACCCTCGATTTTCCGTTAGGGTGGCGGGAGGAGTAATGATAGAACTCCTCCCAAATCTCCGGTGTCTGTTCATCGCCTTCAATAAAGTTGCTGACAACGTGAAGTGAAATTCACCAAAATGTATTTTATTGGATTTATAGGTAAAATAAAAAATGTAGATGGTTTGATTAAGAAATGAATGATTTGATAATTGATCATTTGTGTGTTTTTTTTCATACAGGGATTTAGTTCTCACGTGGCTAACACCATTCCTGCAATGACAATTCCCATGGTACAACAGCAGCAAGCCTCCGGAATTGATGATTCCGTTTGGCTTATGTACAAAGATGGGAGTGTTTATGTCCCTAATCCTTAGGTAAAGCTCATTGCTATTAATATATTTAATACAAGAAACTCATCCCATTCTTACAATGGAACGCAAAGACTTATTCCATTCCATGCAGAGACATCTGAACTTTGGATGAATGCAAGGGACATTCCAAGTCTACAATCGACAACGTGATATAAGGTTGAAGTACCTATTGATGGCACCGTGAGACTGTGACGTTTCCATATTTAGGTTATAGATGTAGTGAATAGTACTGTACTACAAATTTAAAAAATATTTCCTGTTTTTATTGAAAATTTTTCCCGTAAAACTTTCGATCATATCTAGTTAGCTCATCGCCCGGCAACGCGGGGCTCCTCATCTAGTTTACACAAAAAATTACCCCTTAAAAAAACCTTGTTCATGTGCTTCTTTTATATCTTTTCACCCACTCACTGTTTTTTTATCTTTTGCATATAACTTACCATTTTGCATTCATAGTCCTTGTACTTTCAACAATCGTCATTTTACACCCAAAGGTTCGTTTCCTTTATATCTTTGATACTTTCTAAATGTCAATTCATCCCCTTGAATAGTTATACTTTTAACATTAAATTAATCTTTATTACTTTACTTTCATTATGGTTTCCCATATAACATATTTCACCTTTAATTATTAATTATAAATTATTTATAATTATATAATATTTTTTTATTAAATCAATTTACATAAGTTTATGAATTTGTTTAATTGTATTTTAGTTCCTTGGTGTTTTTATTACTTTCTTACGCTTTAAAACATTTATAACATTATTTAAATACAACATCATTCGTTTTATCACTATTCCCTTTCTACTAGTTTTTTTTTAATAAAAATAAAGTTATATATATATATATATATATATATATATATATATATATATATATATATATATATATATTAGTGAATTACTATATATATTAAAAGACAAAATATATTGCCAATACCACGTTTAAAATTGTATAATATTTAGTTTTTTAACGGTACATTTATATAAAAAAAATCTTATATTTAAGTTGAAAGGTACTAAATTCTTTTCTAATATTTTTGTTACTCTTCTTAATAGGATAAAAAGTATTCCAAGTACAATATTTTTATCTTTTATTTTATAAGTAGTGTAAAATTTTTCTAAAAATGGCATCATCATTTTATTTACTAGTATTCTTTTTAATATATATATATATATATATATATATATATATATATATATATATATATATATATATATATATATATATATATATGCTTATGTTATTTTGTTTTTACTAACTATTATGTGTCAGAATGCACAGATCTGGACTACCAAATAGAATAATATCAAAGGTCATGATCTGAGGGTCTGTGATATTACAATAAAATAACATGTACCATATAATCACACAAACTTCAGCATAAGGACATTTTAGTCAATTAACCTATATTAAAAAAGGAAATATTCAGATTTTTAGGGATAATTATTTGCTTTATTTTTAAAAATATGAATATTTTAGATTAATTCAAATTTAATTAAAATATAATTTTTAATAATAATCGATTTTATTCTGTCAGTATGATAAAAAAGCTACCATAAGCTAGTAAATGTATATTTTTTAAATTATTCTTGTAGAATATAGTTAAATTCAATATATATTTAAAATTAAATGCTTAAAGAATTGTATAACATATTATCAATAATAACATTTTCTAAAGAATACGAATTTTATTCTTTAAGAATCACTATATATATATATATATATATATATATATATATATATATATATATATATATATATATATATATATATATATATATGTATAAAACTTGGCTTTCAACATGAATATTGAACTGGTGAACAGTTTGGCAAAAATGGTCCTTTATGTATATTTTTTGTAAGGGGCGCATATTTTGACATTAGGTATATTCTTTTTGTATACGTGTTAGCAATCCACCACATCTTTATATTCCCCCACTGTATTCAATAGATTAGATCGATATGTTCTGCAATCTAGATAATCCGCCTCACCTATTTGTATCCAGAAGCATCAACCAGGTGCACAATGATTTTTGGCCTCTTTACTTCGATTGGATTATTCTCTATGATTTGTATACTAGAGGTATGTATTCATCCCTATCTTCTACAGATTTCAATTTATAATTTTTATTTGATGAACGAATGCCCATAAATTGCAGCTTATGAAGGCCATGTTCAGGTTGTTCAGCTTCTGTTGAATCGCAAGGCCAACATTGATGACCGTGATCGGTGGGCAAGCACGATATATCCATGCTTTCATCACTGAAATCATGTTATCATGTTCGACTCATTTCAAATAATAACAATCTGATCAACACAATCACCAGTTTCCCTGTCCATTTTTGTTTTCGATCATCAATTTTGTCCAATTAGTTTGGTGAAAGTTTGAAATTTGACATCTATTAGGTTAAATGTTAGACAAATCATGTTCCTCTTTTTCCACACATATGATATGTCTATTCCTTCTACTTTCTACCATAAACAACAAGTTTTTTTCATGATTATTTACTTATTTGTTCAAGAACTTTCCATAATGACAGGCATGTGCTAATGCAAAGTACTATGGAAACGCTGAAACTTACAATATATTGAAGGGTAGAGGAGCCAAAGTTCCGGTATTTCCCATTAAAATGCTTTTATATATTGAAAATTTCTAATGTGAGATCATATAATTAATTCATTAAAATTTGGCTAGAAAACTAGAAAGACCCCAATGACTGTTGCAAACCCTAGAGAAGTTCCAAAGTACGAACTCAATCCCCTAGAGCTTTAATTTGGAAAAAGTGATGGCATCTCAAAGGTAAGATTGTGATTTGTGCTTCATATTTAGTTCAAAGTTTATATATTTTCATCATATTAATGATACTATATGGACATTTTGGTCATTTTAATAGGGAACCTATCAAGTTGGTAAATGGAATGGAAGTATGGAACAAAAGTTTCAGTGAAGATATTTGACAAGGACAACTATTTTAAAAGCATGTATGTATTTACTATTTACACATTTTTTTTTATAATTTTAACAAGATAACTTCATTGTAATTTGACTTTTGTATCCTTTTGGTTTTTATATATGCAGAAATGCTTTTACAAATGACGCCTTTTGATTAACCCTTTAATAATTATGTATATGAATCAATGATTTTTTTTTCTTTTTAAAATAGTTTGTTGATTCAACATCTTGAATCTTACTTCCTGTAGTCTTGGATGTGACTGATTTGGGTGGAAACAAATTAACACATGACGATATTATCAATTGCATTGAACAAGTGCAGTGAATTACTTTACTCTTAAACTGAATAATATCAATAACTTAAAGTTCTATGTTTAACGTTTACGTATATGTAGTTTGTTTTTGTATTCGAAAGGTACATATAGAAGTATTCGACATTTAATGATTTCTCAAAGGTATAGTTACGGCCATATTAACATGTGAAATTTCCATTCCAAGCCCTATTAGCATGTAGTTGGACCACAAAGGCCCAATAACATGTAAGAGAGTAATTTAGGCCTAATAGACATGTAAATGGGCCACAAAAGCCCAATAACATCTAATCTAATACCATGGGCCCAAATTAACATGTAAATGGGTTGCAAGACCCAATAAACACATCATGGAAAGCATTGGGTTCAATATATACTTAATTGGGCCCTTAGGGTCTAATGGTCAAGTACCGTGTATATTAGGCCCAATAAATAGTTATTGCTGTATTTCGTTCGTTTTGTTTTATTCTGTTGTTTATTTTGACTTGAAATTTAAAATTTCATTTTTTGACCCTTTTAAAAGCATGTTTAGCATAAAAATACCTTTTATTATATTAGGACCTTTTTGGCCCTATTAAAACAGAATTTTCACTTTTTACCCTTATCTTTTGTTTTCTTGACAATTTTGACCTTTAACAAGGTTTTTGTTGAATTCTTTTGCATCTTAAACATGTGTTTACTTTTGGCTTGATAATATGATGTATATAGTGTTGTAGTTTTTAGATCTATGCTACATCATAATTAAAATTTCTAGATTCAATAAGATCTAACTTATTTTCACCAAATAAACTAAGAATTCACACAAAACATGCATATAAGACATAGATCTACACATTTTACTTGCATTTTCCCTGAAAAATCATATGAAAACCGAAAAAAAGGGGGAATGAACTCACCTTTGCTTGATGTTTCGGTTTTTTGGAAGAAGAAGTGGAAGGATGAAGTGATTTTCGGCCCTAGTAACTCCCTTGAGTGGATCTCGAACTTAAGAAGATTTCTAGGAGTGTGATCACCAAAAACCTTTGTTTAAAAGAGTGATCTATCATGAAGATGGAGTTATGAAACTTGAGTGTGTAAAGGCTTACCAAGAATGATGACTATCTTGAGAAAATCCTCTTGAAACCTAAGCTAGATCTTGAGAATTTTGGAAGAAGAAGATAGATGATCCTTGAGAGAATGGACAGAATTTGGTGTAGTGTGTGTGTTATATTCGGCCGAGAAGAAGAAGAGATGGGAGAGAAAGAGAGATGAGGTGACAAGCATGGATGCATGGGAGGTCTTCACCTTGATATATGTTGGATATTATGGAGGTGGCACTCCAAAGTCAACTCTCCCCCCCCCCTCCCCCCTTTTTTTGTTTCATACATGGGCCGACATTTTCGGCCAAGAAGAAATGATGGAGTAATTTGGGACCATTAACTTTAGCTAGGAAATTTAGATCCTAAACATAAGGTTTTTTGACTCATTGGGCTCTTGCAAGCATTCACGACCCAATTAGAGTAAAAGAATGGGCTTATGGCTCACTAAGGTTAGTTGGATTAATCATGGCCCAATAAGGCCCATTAGGGTTAGAATGGATCATTCTAGACCCAAATGGTCCAAAATGTTTTAGATTTATAAATTGGGTCCAATTAAGATCCAATTAGGGCTTATAAGTCCATTGAAGTTGAATTTGGGTGCTTATTGGTCCATTAGGGCCAATAAGGAACTCCTAGTCAAATATGGGCTTACACCATGGATCTTAGGGCTTCAGACTCTTTGATGAACATGAATGGTGAATCTAAATGTGCACTGAGTGAGATTTACTTAGAATATAAATTTTATAATAGTTGGATGGTTACACATGAATAAAATTTCCTAACTAAAATGATAGTTGTGACACATAGCAGCGAGCGAAGCATCGAAGAAGGCAATATGGATAAAGAACTTCATCGGAGACCTTGCAGTGGTACCTTCCATAAACGAGCCTATGGATATTTTCTATTATAATGAAGGTGTGATCTCCTTAATCAAGGAACCACAGGATCATGGTAGATCCAGGCACATTGACAGAAAATACCACTTTATCAAATATCGGGTAGAAGAGGGACTCCTCGTAGTGAAGAGGTATCGTCATAGGAGAACCCAAAAGATCCCCTAACAAAGGGACTGAGTAGGGTTAAGCACTTGCAGCATGGTAGGAGTATTGGGCTGAAGGAAAATATTAGTTTTACTGATTAGATAGCTATTTAGAAACTTGTAATAGATAAAATCTAATTGACATTTGATAATTAAATAAAGGAGTTTTATTTATGAGTAAAGTTACTGTTTTGTGTAAATTGTTTACTATTATTTCATTTTGCATGTTTTGACTTCCAGAATAATAAGATTATTCAAAATTATCCATAGTTGATCATACTTTGGAAGTAGGTATTGAGACAAGACTGTCATGAATTGGCTTGTAGATTGTCTAAGAGTTTAGACCTAACAAAGGTTTGCCACAACGTTCATTAGTGCTCCTAAAATAAGATTTGAATATTGGATGAAACCCACGCTCACATAAAAGACTTCATGGAATTAAGCACGAGTGATTGTGAGACGATAATATCATATAGTCTTGAAACTGAGATATATGAGTCGTTTAAGAGTTGGTTATGCATTGATAAAATGTAAATGCATCAGTAAATTAATGTTATAAAACGTATTGTTGTGTACAATTTAATGGGTAAATTGTACAAGCATATAAGTCGAAGTTTATCTGTTCCTTTTATCCTAAGAGGTTAAAAGCGATATCTTGGGCCCCTCGATGATTTTGAGTTGACTTATGTGTTGGGATGGTCAGGACTGGGTTGATGTGTTGAATTAAGTTCTATGTTTGACAAATTAGAAATTGGGAACAAACTACTGGAAAATAAGTATGACTATGTTCCATGTATTTGTCCGCATGATATCTTGAGAACGGAGGACTACATGATCCCTTATCTATAGGAGGTGTTAGAGTTCGACACGGATTTTGAGAGCTATGATTGCCAATTGGATTTTGATGTTGTACTTGCATTTATAGTTATTAGACTTATCTAAGTGGGAGACTGCTGGATTAGTGTGTAACCCCATAACTATATTTGGTATGTACTTGACCTGATAGTAGCATGGTCCTTTTGGGTTTCCTTCACCAAAGCAACTTGACTGGATGAATTATGGAGAAAGAGGTTAAGTATGATTTATTAATATGTTATATGAATAATATATTAAAAGAGAAATCATATTATTTAAATAATATTGGTCAATAATTAATTTTGTGGTCAAAAGAGATTAATTAAATTAAGGGGACTGATAATGTCATTATAAGATAGTTACAAAGTTGGGCTTAGGATCCCTAAAGAAGGGATGGACAATTCTATGACGAATCCCACATAGAAATCATTCATAGGGGCCTTCTGGAAGGATTTTGTGGACTACTTAAATTGTAAGCAATCAGATTAGGGTTTTGACTGAGACCGTAGCAACTCAACTATATAAGGAACCCTTGGGACTCTTATTTTCTCCTTTTAAACCCTAAGAATATTACGAGCCGATTTTTGTGATCCCTAGCCTCTCTCCAATATTCTTCCATTGCTCTTGGTGTTTGTGATCTATTAGAGGCATCACATTTAAGGTGCTAAGTTCTCAAAAGTTGAAGATCAAGCTAGCTACAATTGAAAGGTAAGATTCTAAATTTGTTTTGAATACAAAGTTTGATTTATGCATGCTAGATTAGGGGTATAACTTTGGATGATTATTGCATGTGCAATTAGAGAAAACCTAGAACCAAAACTTTAGGGTTGCATGTACACCATAGGATTGATGTAATGCTCAAAACCCATCATCCAAAGCTATAACCCTAACCTAGCATGATTTAATACCAATACAAAGTTAGATGATTATTGCATGTGCAATTAGAGAAAACCTAGAACCAAAACTTTAGGGTTGCATGTACACCATAGGATTGATGTAATGCTCAAAACCCATCATCCAAAGCTATAACCCTAACCTAGCATGCATAAATCGAAATTTAATACCAATACAAAGTTAGATGATTACCTTTCAATTGTAGCTAGCTTGATCTTCAACATTTGAGAACTTAGCGCCACAAATGTGATGACTCTAATAGATCACAAACACCAAGCGCAAGTTGGAAGAATGAGAGAGAGAGAGAGGGAGGGATCACAAAATCGGTTGATACTCTTCTTAGGGTACATGTGTCGATTTTAGGAGTCCCATGGGGTCTTTATATAGCCGAGCAACTAGGGTTTCAGTTAAAACCCTGATACGTGTGCTTAGTCCTTAAGCAGCCCATAGGATCCTTCCAAAAGACCTCTTGGACAAATTCTATGTGGACTCCAACATAGATTTTGAAGGGACAAGTTAATGGTTTGGTCTAGGCTTTCATTGTAATAGTTCATTATGAGTTTTGAGTGTGTTTTGGGAGTTGTTTAGCAGTTTACGGCCAAGAGTGAGTTTACGGTCGTAAACCTGTTTACGGCCGTAAAC